TAAAATATATCGGCTCACATAATGTAATCTTTATCATTGCATTCATGCTGATGACATTAGAACTGAACATAACATCGGGATGAGTTAGGGAATACGGCTTAACATCTATTGTTCAGGTTGGTTTGAGTCAAAACTCTAAGAAGTCTATAGAGATTATTGCCTCTTTTATCCCTTACTGAAAATGTATCAGTGATCAATTAATTGGGTACTCGCACTTCATGAAGAAGAAGATCACATAACCCACACAAATGACTTATGACGTTGAGGAGTTATAATTATCGACTATGTCAACCTTCATCTATCAAAAGGTACTTAAGATAGAATCAAGTTAACCTGTCTTAAGTACTAGTGATTTGGTATTTAACATTTATAGTGGTATTATAAAAAACGCCACTTTATTCCCCTTCCAGGACTTTATCTGTGATTGAATTCAATAAACAGATTCCACTAATTGATTCATGCTGTTTTTTTTTTCTTTCATTTTTTTTATAACATTTCGCTCATTATTTATTTATCTTTGTTTATAGCATTTTGCTTTATATATATTTTTTTTTCACTTTTGCTTATTGACCGGGAGACTTTATTTACTTCACCGGATTTTTTTCTAAGCGAATGTTGATGAGTTCATATCACGTCCGGGTCACCATTGAGGAGTTATAATTACCGACAATGTCAGACTTTATCTATCAAAAGGTACCTCAAGATAGAACCAAGTTAACATGTCTTATATACTAGTGATTTGGTATTTAATATTTATAGTAGTAGTTACGCCGACCGGCCTGTGTAGGGGGCAGGGAACTGTCCTTGCATCAGAAAGTTCCTGTGTTCGAATCCCGGGCAAGGCATGGATGTTTCTTTCTCTCTCTGTGTGTTCTATGTCCTTTCTCCTTTGTGTGTGTGAATGTGACCCGCCCTATAAACGGGTTGTGGTTTTGTGAATGGCGTGGCAAAATTCGAATTCCTGGCCATAGATGGCGCCACTGAAAAACAGGAACAATCGCATCCCCACTGCCTAAACAGGCATACGACAAAAAAAAATTTATTAAATAACAAGTAAGTACTATAGGATATTCACAGTGAGGTAACCAAGAGAACATATTCTTACGATAGATTCCTAGGCAATTTTGACTTAACTATAAATCTTAATTTAAATTTTATTAAATCATATTAAATAGAGATCTTTTAGCTTTAAATAATACTTAGGGGTTCAAAATTAATCGAACTTTTGGAAACAATTTGTCAAAACCAAATTTAAGACTAATTTTAGGTTGTATAGTTGAAATTTTGAATTTATGTATATTTCAAAACAAAACATCAATTATTTTATTTAAGTATAGGCCTTTACGTTTTGAAAAGAAATGAGAGCGATTGAAAAAATAAATTATTTCCTTTTTCCACAGAAATCAAAGAAAATAAACTATAGGGTGTTTTTTGTTCTTTTATTTTTTACTTGAATTTTCCCTATCCAGAGCCAGATTCTTCCCGGGNTCCCGAAGATTTATTGTATAGGAATGTATAGTCGCAAGTGACGCGGTGAGGCGTAAACAGGGGAAATAAAAGGAAAGAGAAATGGAGTGATCGGTTGGTATCATTGCCGGTAGAGGGCAGTAGATGTCTAGCCGCCGTTGAAAATGATGCATCGCAGTAGGGAAAAGCGCCATTCACAATTGTGCTGCCGTAGACGATGGGTGACTTTACGTATGCAGAAAAAGCAGACATGCATTACATGTACGGCCGTGCAAATGGTAACGGCAGAGCTGCGTTACGAATGTATCGCGCGGAGTATCCTGATCGACGAATGCCGGATCATAGAATTTTTCAACGGTTACATCGTCAACTTTGTGAAACAGGTGCGTTCGACGTCAACAGACATGACGCTGGTCGATTAAGAGCTGTACGCACTCCAAGGCTGGAAGAAAGCATCTTGAACATTGTGGCTGATAGACCCGAGTCAAGCACAAGAACTGTTGCGCGTGACGTAGGTGTGAGTCATCAGACTGTATGCAGAGAGTTAAACGAAAATCGCTTACACCCCTTCCATTTTCAGAAAGTACAAGCATTGAATCCGGCAGATTATCCTCTCCGCGTGAACTTCTGCCTGTGGGTGATGTAGCAATGTGCGTTGCAGCCGAATTTCGTAGGTGATGTGCTATTTACAGATGAAGCGACATTTTCACGCGAAGGTGTCTTTAATGCGCACAATTCCCATGTGTGGGCAACCGATAATCCACATGCAACGCGTCCACATGCATTTCAACAACGTTTCTGTATTAATGTGTGGGCTAGTATTGTGAACGACTTTTTGATTGGCTCATACTTACTACCCACGCGACTCAGTGGCGGAAGCTATCTTATTTTTCTAAAAGAAGTGTTACCACTACTGCTGCATGATGTTCCGATCGCCATTCGTAACCGCATGTGGTTTCAGCACGATGGGGCGCCAGCACACTTCAGCATTGATGTACGGAATTACCTGAATGCGACGTTTGGTGCTCGATGGATTGGGCGTGGTGGACCAATCCCTTGGCCACCCCGATCTCCCGATTTATCGAGCCTCGATTACTTTTTATGGGGACATCTAAAGCATCTTGTTTATGAGACTCCAGTTGACTTAGATGAGGATCTCGTCGCTCGCATATCTGTAGCAGCTGCAGGTGTGCGTGAAATACCAGGCATCTTTGAACGTGTACGCCAATCGCTCCACCGACGCTGTCAAGCATGTATTGCTTCTGGTGAACGCAATTTTGAACACTTACTGTAAACATGACACTTGTCAACAACGCTTTCAATAAAATCTTTGTTTTTCCTTTCGGCCGTTATTTCTCCTGTTTACGCCTCACCGCGTCACTTGCGACTATACATTCCTATACAATAAATCATTGTTACAATGTCCTGTACCTACCATTAAAGTTTGTACCATGAATTCGGGACCACCCTGTATATCGGCTCACATAATATAATTTTTATCATTGCATTCATGCTGATGACATTAACACGAAACATAACATCGGGATGACGGCTTAACATCTATTGTTCAGGTTGGTCTGAGTCAAAACTCTAGAAGCCTATAGAGATTATTTCCTCTTTTACTGCAAATGTGTCAGTAATCAATTAACTGGGTGCTCTCACTTAGATGAAGAAGATCACATAACCCACACAAATGACCAATGACGTTGAGGAGTTATAATTATCGACCATGTCAACCTTTATCTATCAAATGGTACCTTGAGATAGAACCAAGTTAGCATGTCTTAAATACTAGTGATTTGGTATTTAATATTTATAGTGGTATTATAAAAAACGGCACATTACTCCCCTTCCAGAATTTTATCTGTGATTGAATTCGATAAACAGATTCTACTAATTGATTCATGCTGTTTTCTTTTCCTTTCATTTTTTTTTGTTTATAGCATTTCGCATTATATATATTTTTTTCACTTTTGTTTATTGACCGGGGAGACTTTATTTACTTCACCGGATTTTTTTACTTCACCGGATTAATGTGGACCATCCATCAATTCATATCACGTCCGGGTCACCATTGAGGAGTTATAATTACCGACAATGTCAGCCTTTATCTATCAAAAGGTACCTCAAGATAGAATCAAGTTACCATGTCTTATATACTAGTGATTTGGTATTTAATATTTATAGTGTTAGTTACGCCGACCGGCCTGTGTAGGGGACAGGGAACTGTCCTTGCATCAGAAAGTTCCTGGGTTCGAATCCCGGGCAAGGCATGAATGTTTCTTTCTCTCTCTAAGTGTTCTATGTCCTTTCTCCTTTGTGTGTGTGAATGTGTGTGAATGTGACCCGCCCTATAAGCGGGTTGTGGTAATTTAACTGGCGCGGCAAAAGTCGAATTCCTGGCCATAGATGGCGCCACTGAAAAACAGGAACAATCGCACCCCCACTGCCTAAACAGGCATACGACAAAAAAAAACGTGTTCGTTACGCCACAACATCAGAGCCAGCTGATCGATTATAAGCAAAATGGCTTATAAAATTGACATAAGTTTCTCCACATAAGTTTGAATGTTAGTTAACGTGAAGTTAATTAAATACATAAACCGCGCGAATTTAATTCATTAAAGTATAATTCTTTTTAGTCTACGTATTTTACTTAACTTACATTTACTATTTGTTTAAATATTTTATTATAACCGTCGCATATTTTTAATTTGTTAGCCTGAAAACGTCTGTGAATTATTAGTTTGTTTATGCTCAACATGGCTGCGTACCTGTCTTTGTGTTAAGCAAGAAATACCTGCATATTGTGAAATAATTGAAATCTTTGTGAAAGAATTTAGAATGTGTCAGTTGAGAGAAATGATTCTTGAAGGGCTTGGCTTGCTCGAAACGGAATGGAAAGAACAATTGCTAACGTAAGCAAAAACCACGTTATAACCTATCAGGAGTGAGATACCCGAACTACGTCACTTGCAGGTATCCCATTACAAGTAGTAACCAACTTAGCAAGGTTGCCATTAACAAACACAATATTACTCAAATTCATTGAGTGATAATGGTCAAGTCAAGTAATTTAGTTCAGCCCATAGCTTATGAGTAACTATAATAGTAGAAAAACATTGAATCATTTTAACTTTTATAATTGGCCACTTGTAACTCGAAAAGAAGTGAAGTAATTATGCCTAACCATGTGATTTAAATTATATTAAATTAGAAATCGTTGTGCGACGTTACGCATGTGCTGAACCTGAGTGGCTTCTTAATCAACAAATGTCATGATTTATCTACGACGACGACATCTGAAAGTATCCAATTATGTTGGTATATGCCTTTCGATTTTGCATTGTATTGATTATAAGATTTATTGATTTTTCGGCTAATTTTTACTCGGTAAGTAGAACGGGTATTCAGTTTAAAATAATGAATCAAAAAAGTATGAAACATGATTAAAGAATTAACATCATTCTAAAGAAAATAAAAAAAAATTTCTCGGATTTTTGTTCCGTATTCCAGGAAAATATAATACTTACTGGGACAAGTAGAAGGTTCGCTCCTAAAGTATACATGTTCTTGACAGGTACTGGAAGCGAACTCTCCAGACAGAGTGTCGGGCCAACACTGCCAGCCATCCCATGTCCTCGGACAATAAAGATCATCTAAACAAAATAAAAAATTTGTTAACCTCCCTTGATTTGCAGTTCATATCAGCATTTTTTATAATATGAAATTGTGTGCAATAATAGACACATTTTCAAATTGGCTCATGGCGGCTGTTTACCGTATATTTTTAACAAAAATACTGTATATTTTTAAATAAAACAAAATATTAAACAAAAATACCGTACATTTTTGTTTTATCATATTCCAGAACTATGTTTTTTTTACCATAAATGTTTTAACCATACATTACAGCAACCTTACTACATTTTTCTCTTCGTGTAACTTTACTCTATTACTAAGAATTAAAAGCAGCGAAATTTAATTGTCTCAGATTTTAATTACACAAAGCTATGTTATCTCTATTCTAACCTGCTTCCCAAGAAATCAAAAATTATTGGTAGTAAAAGAAAATCATGTATCTAACATAAAATTTTTGGATTTGAAGTTTAAGAGGGATTTTTATTATCAGTTTTTTATTTGAAAAGGTAAATCAGTAAAATTTGAAAAACATTTTTACGAACACTGCTGAAAGTTTTTTAACCAACTATTCACTTCAATTTTTTTTCCATCCAATTTTTTTTAAATATTTTTTATCATATACTTTAAATTAACAATATATGTTATTTAATGCAATTGTACGGTAGATCAAGTCTAAAATAAGTTTATATCGGAATGGCGACGCATTATGCAATATTACATTTATGCACCTAAGAAGAAGGAAAAAAAATTTCTACTTTTTAATCGACAAGAAAAACCAGGCTTTTAAAATATATATTTTGTTTAAGCATCGTATAATTTTTAGTTTTGATAGCCTGTATACTCAATTTGCTATAAAATAAGTTGTTTGTATCATTTAGGAATGTAATTTGAATTTGCATCAGGCATTGAGCTATAACTAAAAGTTGAGCACTCCAGCTTGAAAAAATTACCACATTGTTACATAATTCAAAATGTTTTACTCACTGTATATAATTTTTATGATAAATGGGGTAGGGGCCGCTGTGCGGCCTAGGCACCCAGTTTTGTTTGAATAAGGAAAGAAAAGAAAGCTTGAAAAATGGTCCCTTGACAATAAATTCTTGTTGATAGGACGCACTTCATGCAATATAGAGATCCATTTCGATTTTGTAACTCGAAGAAGTCGAAATATGGACTACCGAAGTAATCGAAAGTAATAAAGTAATCGAAATTTTGACAGCCAGTAAATGACAATATTGATAATGTGGATTTAGAGTATGCTTGTAACAGCCAAAAAACCACTGGAACTTTACTATACATTATTATCTAGCACAGAGTTCCAAAGCAAATTTTAGGATTCTAGCTAGTTGGAAAGAGGTCGATTTTCTGCTTTACGCTCGTTTTCTTATGCTGATAATATGGAGTTATAAATTATGCTCATGCAGCTCAGGAAACAGTTAACTACTTTAGTGAAATCATCAGGAAAAATTCTTCAGAAGAGACCAGAAACTTTAGAAGGATGACGGAATTTTAAATAAAAATAAATTCAATTAGGCAATGAAATGACAAATAATTATGATTATAGTAGTCGTAAAAATGACTTAAGTTTGTATATTCATCTGATGCGAAACTCCAAGAGAGAAAAGAGTACTCTAGCTTGTCGAAAAACGGGTTGAAATTTTGTTTCAAAATACTCCAAGTCCGCAGACACAGCAAAGTGTTTTTAAAAATATTGTAAGAAGTGGAATTCGTCTACAAAGTTAATCAAGAATTTTAAAGCAGTACGTCAAAAAATAATCAAAATATACTACAATATATTTTTTCAGAACTAATTAGAAACAGTTGAAGATTTACCCATTTCCGATTTACCGTTACCATGTCTGAATTCTATTTATTAATCACTCTCTAACTTGTTCAAATTTTGCATACAAAAGAATCTAGTTGAAGTAATTTGCAACAATTTCGAAGCTGCGGATTATTTTGTTTGACAATAAACCCTTTTTATCGATATTATGACTATAAATTCCACTTGTAGTCATCGAAAAACGGCGTAAGCTTTTATTGTCGCTTCTCAGAAAGCTCCAGTTAAAGTTTGAATATTCTAGCTAGGCAGAAAGATGTCAAAGTTTGATATTGGCGACAAATTATCATAAGTTTAGATATTCCTCACGTAGCAGTCAAGAAAGAATAGAAATCTTCGATGTTACCAGACCAAATGAGATTTAAGAACTCCAGTCAGTCGGACAGCGGTCGCAATTTTAATTGGCACTAATTTCCTTTGGCGATATTACGTTGATATATTACGCTAGTATTTGTGTGAAAAATATTTTTTTTTCCATCTAGTAAAGATTTGAGTGACTTAAAAGGTCGATGACTTGATTGCGAGATTTCCACTCTACGACACGGAAGTGAGTTAATAAAATTTAATTAACCTTTAATAATGCAGTGATAAATAATTTTCCCACAATATTCATTAACTTTTATATTTTCATAAGTAGCTAATTTTTCATCTATGATTTCTGGGGCCATCTGAATCAGTGAAGAACTTTCGTTAGATAAATGGGGATACAGTAAAGGTTAACGTGGGGTCAAGAAGGAAAACCAACACAGGAGAGCTATTTTCTGTTATGCACCATGCGTATTCGTTAATTTGATCGTTTTTCATCAAGTTTATCTTAGTTATAAACCAAAAATTTATAAATTCTGTTATTTTTAAGCACAGAAATTTAAGTTTATGGCCGATTCTTTTCAGAAGGCAAAATAATGAACATCCTACCCACCTTTGCACCAAAAAATTTCTTAAAAATCTAGTTATTTCAGGTAATATGATTATTGTTTTTTTTAAAAAATCAATCCCACTAATAAAAATAAAATTTAACATAGCATTACACGGAAAAAAAATTCAGCTAAATTTATGGTAATATTAATGACATTTCAGATAAATATTAACCATATTTCTGGTCAATATAACTAAAATATGAGGTATTTAAAACATTCATTCCGTTCTTATGGTAATATATGGTAATGGTTCTCATATAATTACCGGAAATAATAGTTTTCAAAATGATAGTTCTTAGTGTCACACATTCAGTATAAAATACTACAGTATTTAGTGGTAACAGTATATTTCTCATGTGATGATCTGCGAATGGTAAGTTTTAAACGATTATTTTTGCCTTTTAATATTTGTAATATTTTTTATTAGATAAATTTTTTTATTCCGAAACAATTATCAATGCAGAAAACTATTGAGATAATAAAGTGGAATATATCTGAAAAACAAATCAAGATTATTAAAAACATAACATAAAATTAAGAAAAATGTAATCGGATACATTTTTTCACGATTAATTTAAAAGCAAATAACGACACATAAACGGCGGATGAGTGTTTTAGAATATCCATTATTACTACAACATCGAAAGAATATACATTTTAGTTCCTTCAAACAAAAAATAATAATTAGAATTATTATTTTTTTGCCACTCTCTAACTTGTTCAGAGTTTCTAACAAAATGAATATTAAAGTTATTTTATAATGTTTTTTCTTTTAGTTGGTGGTAATAATTTAATCAGGTGATGATCCGATTTTGGTCTATTTTAACGATGAATTTTGCCTCTTTGATAATTGTAATTTTTAAATCAGCAATCATCATCAATCAATGCAGATTAATAATGAGATAAGAAAAGTAGATATTATTTACAGCACAAACCAAGGCTGTTAAAATATGCCATAAAACTACGAAGGAGTATAATCGAATATATTTTTTATAACTAATTTTTTTGAAATAAAAAATGGTGAGGGAGCACTTTGGAAAATTTATAACTACTCCTACATCGAGCGAGTATACAACAGGTTTTGTTCCCGTAAAAAAATAATCCAACATTTTTATTTCTTAGCCACTCTCTAACTTGTTCAGGTTTTGCCCGCAAATAAATTAGTTGAAGTAAATTACAGCAACTTCTGCCTCTACGAGACTAATCCACGTAGTCAGCACCGTTAAAGCAATAAAATTCCCTTGGCGTGCACAAACTCCTGTGCTTTTTTAAAAGTCGTTCATAGCGGAAGTTACGATGAGAATAAATTCAATTTTTATGAGATGGAACCCTTTTTGGGGACAAAAAAAAACATTCTTTTTCTTTAACCTCTCAACTACCATGACAGCTATTTCTTTAAGAAAAAAAAAGTAAGAGTCGTGACATTGGGAGTTCCGGATTATTTTAAAGCTTATTTAGATACCTTACTTCTTTTTGATTAAATGTCTCTTTTCATCTGGAAACTAAAATTTTCGTCAAATTAATTAAGAAGAAAAACAAAAAGAAAGGTGTGGTTGGTGGTTTTTCTCGACTTTTTGAAGCAATCTTGATATGGAATAAAAATAAAATAGTTTATTTCTGAATTTGGTGTTGGCACTTTTTTTCCATTATAGATTGATCTAAATAAAGATTGGAATTTCTAGAGAAAATTACTTTTTTACCGAGAGAGAAGACAACTTTGTAGCAGACATTGTATTTTCCTTTTTATTTGATTGTTAAAGAAAGGTTGATTAATTAATTCTTTTTATAAACTTAGTAGAAATATTTGTATGGAAAGCTAGCTTTTTTAAAGATAGGTAATATAAAAACATGGAAACCTTTACAAAAAATCTCATCATTTAGTTTTTATTTACAGGTACATTAAACCTTGTTTTTGCATTTTTTTTCATTCTAGCTTTTTCCAGGCTCCCAAATGCAACATGTTGAAAACTTAATGATCATTTTTAACCTTTATTTTCAAACGGTTAAAGAAAGCATATAAAAGCCTAAGCAAATGAACTTTGTTTCAGTGATGGTTATTAAATCGTGAATAAACCTTGAGAAAGTGCTTCGGTTCAAGAACGCTTTCTAATCTTAATTTGCGAATTATAATACATCTCAATTTCAGAAGGTTTTTCTAGTCTTTTTTTAGTCTTATTCAATCTTGATATTAGAAGGGATTTTTATGCAAACTAAATGTGAACCTCAAGGACCTTAATATAACATAGTTAAATTTAACTTT